CTCGGGAGGGGCGCTGGTCACTCCTTGGCGGCGCCTGCGGCCGGAGGGACGTGGGCTTCGGCGTGGCGAGCAGCGCGGGCGAGAGAGGGACGGCGCGCGGCTCCCAAACGAGCCGCACGGGCTTCGTCTGGGCCGCCGAGGCCAGCTCCTTGGTCGCGGCGGCGGGCGTGATGGCGAGGTGGGCCGAGGCAAGCGTTGAACGTGCCGCCTTGCGCCCCTGAGGAGGGACGTGCGTGCGTGGGGTGCCACGGGCGGGGGGGGAGCGGTGAGAGGAGAGCGGTGGGCACCCCCACGAGGGCTGCGCGGACGCCGCCTGCCCCCCCGACCCCGCCACTGACGGTGTGGGGGCGGCACGGTCGAGGGCACTGGCCGAGCGGGCCGTCCGAGTCGCCAGAGCGGTGCTCTGCCGGCCGGCGGACGCGCCCGAGAGTGGCCCGATAGGGCTCAAATTACGGAGCCGCTCCCCGGCCGTCCCGGGCGCCTGTCACGCGGGCCGATGGCCCAGCCGTCCTGTGAGTGGCTGGAGCAAAGGGGGGAGAGCTCAGGAGGGCGACGGGGCAGGGAAGGTGGCGGTGATGCGGTGCGGCGGGGTCTACTCGGCGGCGTGTAGAGAGGAGGTGCTAAAAGGCGACTATAAAGAGGCGTCTACGGGTCGTATGGTGCGCCACGACGGCGGGAGAGCTCTCTCCCGCCGCCCCGCGGGCCGCCCCGAGGGGCCTCGCAGCCCATGCCCTCAGGCGCCGCTGTCGCGGGCAGAAGGGCCGCCGTGAAGGTGTCTCGGCCGCCATCTAGAGGGAGCCGACCGGTCGGGTAGGGGAGGCAAGCGCGAGCGGGTGGAGGGCAGCCTCGACCCACCTACGGCGTTGTCGTGTTGGAGGGTGTGTGGGCGACCTTCCATTGAGTCAGAAGCGTCGCCGCGCGCCGCCATCGCCCGCCGTGTGCTTCTTTGCCGGTGAGCGCGCGACGCAGGCACCTATCGTCAGAGGGGGGGAGGGTGAAACGCGAGCGTTTCGTCGACCTAGGAGCCGCGGCAAGCGGCATGTAGCCCACTGATAGCCCCGACCCAGGCCTCGTAGCTTCAGATCCCGAGCGCCGGGTCGAGATAGCCGTCATGATTTCCCTATGCGCGA